CCACCAACACCACCACCAACACCGTTGTCATTATATAGATTAGGAGAATGACCTGTTTTGTGTATTCTTCCAGCTTATTCTTGGTCCTTATGTAGCTCGCCTGCCGGACGGACGGTATTTGTATGCTTACAGTGGAACGCTGGTCCGTACTTTGCTAGTTTAGTGTCATTTGTCTGTTCTGTAATTTCTCACTATAAAGGATAAACATCCAACTCATTTATTATATAATTTCTTCATTTATCTGTCATAGTGCAAATTTAGATACTTATTATGTATTTAATTTGTAGTTCTTGAACTCCATTCCATTTCCTCAACGTCAGTTTGAATCATTATTGTACTCATAATTAAAGAGTCTTTGTGGCCGACCGAGCTACCGCCGCGTGACGACGACGTTAGTACCAACTTTAGCGGATAGAGGGTGTCACGTGGTCAGCGCAACGGATCCCCACGGCCGTTAATTTCGGGTTTCTAGACCGGATTCGCAATTTCCTTGAAATAGCTCCTCAATTATCCTCACGAGTCTGAGTGGACCCCGTTCCATATCGACTTCTCAAAAAATCTGGTAGCACCGTGAATCGAACCCGGGACCTTAGGATCTGTATCCAGGAACTCTGAGCACTAGGCCACAGAGGCGGTGTTTGTTCATAAATACTCTAGTATTTTAAAGATCAGTGGTTACTATATGACCCGCCAACTTTAACAGCAAAAACCCTGCATTTTAGCTGCAAAATGTACAGGTTCCATATGATTCTCAGGAAAAGCGGAGTGTTTTACCGAAACATCAACACGTCGGTATTCAAACTAGAAACCCAGTTCGCTTTGTATCAAGCATCAAGTGAATTCTCATGAATTTGATGCTTCCCATTGCGGAAAAAATTTGTAAAGCACACCCTTTTTTATTTAAGTATTTTTAAGAATATGAGTTTAGACATGTGTTTTAAGTCCAAGAAGACTTACTTAAGCAAACTATTTTCAGTTTTGACTTATTCCAGCAGTTTCTTATTTTCTTTGAAGGGAATTGAAGGCTCACCTCTTGTGCGTGAGTACGTGAGTACACGACAGATACTCTTTCAGAGAGAAGTAACTGTACCTCATTATAAGGTCAGTACAGTTCCATAGTCAATTTATGCTCCTCGAAATGATTTTTGACTTAATTCTTTCTTACAGAATACGAAAATAGAAAGCCTATACATGGTTTATTAATTAAGAATGTCATCTTTTGGGGTGTGGCGCCGTTTCGGAGGAAGGTATCGAAAAATCCGCGAGCGAGGGAGCAGTGTAAGCAGGTGGCTGAAGACTGTAAGCTGCAGACATCTGCTCACGCCGGTTACTCGCTCGCAGATTTCTCAATCCTGAAGATGGAGGCGATCTTCTGAAACTTCGTTTCGCACAAGAACTACACTGCGCCACATCCCAGAAGATGACATTCTTAATAGTCACCGCCGTGAACACCTCAAGTCTTAGATCGTTTATTAATATTTTTCGCGGGCAATATCCATATGTTAAAAGTCATATGCCAGAGGTTTGAGGCCTCTTAGAGTTGCAAGACCAACATAAATCCCTTTTGGCCCGGAACCAACTAACTAACCCCGTGAAGCTGAGTCCTTCTTGAGAAGCCGCCAGTTGTGCAGTTGCTGAAGAAATTCCCAGCATTTTATGGAACCCGAAAGTTCATTATCGTGTTTACAAGAGCCCTTCACCGGTCTCTATCCTGACCCAGATCAGTCTAGTCCGTAACACCTCATCTCATCGCTCTGAGTTACATTTTAATATTATCCTTCTCTGGTGCTCTCTTTGTTTCTGGCGTTTCCACCACAGCAATATTTGTATTCCTCTTGTCATCCAAGCGTTCTTACTGCATGCCTTACTAATCTTACCGTCCTTGATTGGATTATTCTGATTATTTGATAAAGGGTACAAGCTATGAAGCTCCAGGCTACCTGGTCCTTTACTTACTTAATCCGTTCCTCTTACATATTCGGTGCCATTTTGATCATTAAACAGACTGTAGGCGAGTGATCAGCTAGTCGCAAGGCTGCTACCTAAACACAGGGCAACACAAAGACAGAATAAACGCATACACTTACCAAATATTCATGCCTTGTGTAGGATCCGAATAAACGATCCCGCCTTCCGAGCGAGCGAAGACAGTGCATGCCTTAGACCGCTCGGCTACCGTGACCGGCAGTGTATAAGAATAATATATAAGAATTCAGTTCGTACCTCACAGGAAACAGATCCGAACCCACGATCCCAGCTTCCGAGCGAGCGAAGACAGTGCATGCCTTAGACCGCTCGGCTACCGTGACCGGCAGTGTATAAGAATAATATATAAGAATTCAGTTCGTACCTCACAGGAAACAGATCCGAACCCACGATCCCGGCTTCCGAGCGAGCGAAGACAGTGCATGCCTTAAATCGCTCGGCTACCCAGCAGTGTAGTCCTTTTTTTTCCCCCTCTGGCGCTACAGCCCCAATTTGGGCCTAGGCCTACCTCCATGAAACTCTCAGTTTCACTTCGGCTTACTAGATCTTACACATACGGTAGGACTCCTGGGGCGGGTGATCAGCTCGTCGCAAGGCCTCTAGCTGTAGACAAATACAGAAAAACGCACACTAACATCCAAGCCCTGAGTGGGATTCGAACCCACGATCCCGACTTCCGAGAGAGCGAAGACAGTGCATGCCTTAGATCGCTCAGCTACCGTGACCAGCAGTGTATAAGAATTCAGTTCGTACCTCACAGGAAACATATCGAACCCACGATCCCGGCTTCCAAGAGAGCGAAGACAGTACATGCCTTAGACCGCTCAGCTACCGTGACCGGCAGTGTATAAGAATAATATATAAGAATTCAGTTCGTACCTCACAGGAAACAGATCCGAACCCACGGTCCCGGCTTCCGAGCGAGCGAAGACAGTGCATGCCTTAGACCGCTCGGCTACGGTGACCAGCTATGTAGTCCTTTAGTGCCAGATATTTTCAGACATCTGTTATATTTCTTACAAGAATCTTTACCAAATTTTAATATGTCGTTTCCAATTTTAAGACAATAGACATGTTTAAATACATTATGATCCTTACAGAACAATTGAACCTAAATTATCTTATATGACGAAACTGCAGAACAAACATACCATCGTAGGATCCAGAATAGAGACTTTTGTGACAATGTTTTTCTCATTGTAGTAGCTAATATATGCATTGTGAATGATCAGCAGCTGAAAAATAAGTATTGTCACAGTCTGTCTGGTAATATCAATGAACATTTGTACAAATATAAAGCGTCTGGGGTGTATTTGTGGTAGTCAGTCCGTACTCATCTGCGTCTGCGCTAAATAGGTTAATGAATCCATGAATCATTCGTTTAGGTCTAATACAATGTGCATGTGAAGTCTCCACCCACGCCTCTACCTGTCTCTCGCCACTTGAACTGTCGGTACAAAGGAAAGGGCACGTGTACTGCGTCGGCATTATAACGTTTAATGACATGATATAACTTGACTTGAAGCATTACAGTATGTTCACAAATTATGATATGAGGACTTTACGGCCGCGGAAATTAAGGCAAGATGTAACCCCTGATAGTCTGATATACATGGTGTGTCCAGGATCCGTTAGGACTCATTTTTTTAAATTTTGCCCTGCAATGTCATCTGTTGGCGAGTTGTGGCGTTAAGATTCTTAACGTTTCAGCTGTGGCTGTCTATAATTTCAAAGCTCAAGCATCGCTGCATCATGTGTTCTGACCTTGAGCGTAACAGTACTGTTCTGACGCTCGTCGGAAAATAGCGGTTGAACAGGGAACCAATATAAAATTTTGATAAAAAATAGAACATTCAAAACTATAATTTTGCCTCTGATTCTGTATGGGTGTGAAACTTGGTCTCTGACATTAAGGGAGGAACATAGACTGAGGGTGTTTGAAAACAGGGTGTTGAGGAGAAAATTTGGACCAAAGAGATATGAAGTGACAGGAAGTTGGAGAAAACTGCATAATGAGGAGCTTCATAACTTAAACTCTTCTCCAAGTATAATTAGAATGATCAAGTCAAGGAGGCTGAGGTGGGCAGGTCATGTAGCACGAATGGGGGAGACGAGGAATGCGTATAATATATTGGTGGGAAAGCCAGAAGGAAAGATACCACAGATAAGACCAAGGCGTAGGTGGGCGGACAATATTAGAATGGATCTTAGAGAGATAGAATGGGATGGTATGGATTGGATAGATCTGGCTCAGGATAAGGACCAGTGGAGGGCTCTTGTGAACACGGCGATGAACCTTCGGGTTCCATAAAATGCTGGGAAATTCTTGAGTAGTTGCAGAAGTGGCGGATCCTCAAGAAGGGCACAGCTCCATGAGTAAGTAAGTAAGTAAGTAAGTAAGTATGTATGCTATATATCGTGACGACAGGGAGCACAGTGAAGGCTCTCCACGAGCATCAAATCCGAGAACAAGTCGTACTGAAGAAAATGTGAAAAAGTGACCGAAATCCTTGCATCAGACAGATGTGTTTCTGCAAGACTCATCGAGAATCTTTTGGGAATACTAGGAAGTACTGTGTATCAAATTTTGACCGAGGATTTGGGCAAACGGAAGGTCTGTCCGCGGTTTGTACCTCATGCGCTGTCAGGCGATGAAAAACATGCCAGAGTGGAACACTCCAAAGACATGTTACGGTCAGCCCAAAGTGATACAAAATTTACAAATTCGATTGTTACTGGTGACGAGACATGGTGTTTTCAATATGAGCCTCTCACAAAGCGGCAGAGTGCAGCGTGGTTCAGCCCAAAGGAGCCGAAACCAAAGAAAGTGCGCATGCAAAAGAGTCGAGTAAAGACACTGCTAACCGTTTTCATCGATTCCAAAGGAATCATTCACAAGGACTTTCTGCCAGAAGGTCAAACAGTGAATTCTTATTATTATCTCGGAGTCCTCAGCCGTTTATGGGCGAGAATTCTTCAAATTTGACCTGAATATCGAAAGAAAGTTTCCTGGTCGCTTCTCCACGATAATTCCCCATCCCAAAAATCGAAGATCGTGCGCGATTTTTTGGCCAGAAAATGGATCACAGTCCTTGATCATCCTCCGTATTCGCCAGATTTGGCTCCAGCAGATTTCTGGTTGTTCCCAAAAGTTAAGTTGGCGATGAAAGGAGACCGCCACGACACCATCCAGGACATCCAAAGGGAATCCACCGCAGTTTTAAATGCGATTCCACAAAAGGAGTACAGTGACCGTTTTCAAAAAATTTTGAATCGATCCCAGCTATGTATTGATTCAGAAGGAGACACTTTTGAACAAAAAGAGTGAAATTTTGAAAATAATTCACGTCTTGTTTTTTAATGAACACAGTCCTAACAGAACCTGGACACACTGTATATATAGCTGTAAAATATAATATCCTGTCCGCAACAGGATACACTGCGGAGGACCTAATAAAAGAACATCTAAAGATACTACGAAATTTACTCCTTACTGTTGCCAATTAGTGCAGCAACCAACGCTGTTACGGGCATCTGCAACTATTCTATCTGTCTATCTGTCTATCTATCTATGTATCTATCTATCTATAAATCTATCTTGGAGCATAGGACATCTGTGAATCGCGTCGTTTCACTTCAATTTCTTAATCTTAGAGAATCGGTAGGACACCTTGAACGGGGTATCAGCTCAACGCAAGGCCGCTACCTACACAGGACAACACAAACATAGAACAAACACAGACAAACATCCATGCATTGAACGGGATTCAACCCACGGTCGCAGCGTTGGAGTGGGTGCGCGGCCACTGTGACCGGCCTCGCAACTGTTACTGTATAATTTGTGGATGCAATTGTAATCATTCTTTACACTCTTTCCTTTTAATCGTGTGAATAACATTTTATTACTTGTTAGATTTCAGGTTATCACCATGGTGACTACTTAGCATGATATAATCTGTGTTGTAACCGGTAGAAATTCACGGACGTTTCGGGGGAACACACTGCTTGCTTGCTCCATCTTCATTGCTGGTATATAGTTTCTGTGTTCTTTAACCCTGAAGACGGAGGCAATACGTTAGTGAACTTATACCGGGCTATATGTTGTCACA